TGCACCTCCGAAGAAAATGAGTCGAAGTGTCCAGCTTGCTCTATAGCTGGGACTGATGAAATGAGTGTGTAAGTGTGGGCAGTCACTGACTAACAGCCTATGCCTTTCAGCAAGGTTGCTTTGTACTCCTTTCTGTGCAGTGCACTGACCAGAAAAATGAGATAAAGAAGTTATTATTCTGCTTTTGTCCAGATTATAATTGCTTATTAGGGCTGAACAGATTATTTGGGATACCTTGGGAGAGCAGGAAAAAGGTAAAGAGAAAGTTCCATTCTTGCTGCAAAGGCGTTCCTCTCTTTCCTTATACTGTCTGCTCTCATAATTGCAGTTTTAAAAATAAACTATAATTGCATAGTTAGTTCCATTACATTTTTTGTGGAAGAAACCTTACTTCAAGATCTGGTCTCTGCTCCTCTATTTGTGACTGCATTATCCAGAATCTGATTCCCCTAAGATATCAATGTGCTATATTTCCAAGCTCCAGTCATGCCAGACTTACTTTCCTTCACGTCAAACAGTGTGAAGCTTCAGCCTGCTAATCCTGCAGTGCTGAGAGGACAGGGGAATTGAGGACCAGTTTGTCAAGCTTCACTTGGAGAATATACCCAGACTACAGTGTGCCAGCCCAGCAGGGCCAAAAATCAAGAGGGGTTTTTTCCCCCAAACTGGTGGAAACTATACTACAAAGGAGCAATGTTTTGGCAGGTGTGATCCTGTACTAGAGAATTTTTAGACCACTTGCCAATTCTGTAGCAAAATAAAATATCTTCAGAAAGGCCTACGGACATGCCATCCTCATTTGCGCAGAGGAATGTGTTCAGTTAAACACACAAACTCACTTGAGCACCTTCAGCCCACCACAGAACAAGAAAACCTAGGTCAGAACCTCTCAGAGATCTTTCATAAGATTAAGAGAAATTCAGAAATATCACTGTGCGTGCCCAAATACACCATATAGTGCCATTTGGTTACACAGAACATACACCACATGCTGCCTTACGGTTTGCACACAGTGGGCAGAAGAAGCATCTTCAAAAAAGGAAGTTCACAGCAAGTGCCCAAGTTATGGTTAGTTTTTTCCTTTGATCCGCTGAGCGTCCCAACAGGCTATCTTCAGTACACTCTAAAATGCAGAGTATATATAAGGCAATGCAAGCTAGTGGCCGGGAAAAAAAACCCTTATTGCACATATGATCTCACAAGGCAGCTATTTTAGTACGCAAAAAAGATCTAATAATCATGTTATGAAACTGAATAATTAGTTAAAGTAAGAAATTTTAAGTTAAAGTTAACTTCTTAGGTGTTAATGAGGATAGATATCTGCTAAACCGACAGTGACAGCAAAGCAAAAACGCCATGCACTCTAAATGATATGCTAGACCCTAGCAGGGAAGTAAATAACACTACAAATATTTTTTCTCTCACACCAGCCAACATGTGTAACTCATTGAAACAAGATGTTAAGTCAAAAATTCTAGTAAAATTCAAGGAAGAGCTGGACATTTATATAATAATAAGCTTATCCACAATTACAGTGTCAATACAAAAACATTCTACTGCACATGTCTCTTCATGCAAACTAAATTTAAGCCAAAAAGTTACACCAGAAGTTATATCCTAGGAAAAAGTCCCACATACAAATGATACTGCTAAATCATGTCTTCTCTGAAATTCCTGCTTTTGCCAACTGTCACAACACTTGACTAAAATAACAACTCATGCTTACTTATCATAAAGCACTTTAAAACAGGGGAAAGAACTTTTGTGTTATAGATTAGATTTCATCCTTACTATTTTATCAGAAGGTGGATAATTTTTGGGGGTGACTTTGGTTGGTTTTGGTTTTTTTTGTTTTGTTTTTTTTAAGTTTTCTTGACTTCATTATAGCAACTTATTCTTCATGAGCCATCACTTTAAATCAAGAATAGTTGTTTCTTCTGATAATTAAGGATGATCTTTTATGACAGGGTAACATATACTTACTATTCAGAGTTTGCTCAGTAATTTATCTGGACTACTGCTGCCCTGTTATTTTAAACAAGCACTTGAAATAAAGTCTGTTAGCATAAACAAGAACTTAGTTTTCCCACAAAATAGTAGTTTTGATAAAAATTAAAATGGTTTCTTGCAAATCAATTTCCAAGTTTTCAAAGTGTAATTCAAATTTATTTCCCTCACCCATGTATTCAGGCTTTTGTGCCTTTGTTTAGGATGAGCTGTTTCTTTGCTTTGCATGATGACGCGTGCACTGTCCCCTGAGGAAAATGCCTTTGACATTTTGGTAGAGAAAAGAGTGTCTAAGTGACAACTTCAAATCTGAGTAAAGGCAATAAGCTGTGGGCAAGTTGCCCAACTTCCACATGACGCACTTCATGATGGCTCTAAGAGGCTGAGTGTTCCTTGAGAGAAGACAAAGGACACAAGTTGCTTGTGATGACTGCTTCATTAGCTTTCCTTGGAGGATGCTCAGAGTGAATATTGATAGTACCATTGTCATTGATAGTTCACTGAAGGAGAAACGTTTGTACAGAGCATCCAGCACCAACAATGAGATCATGCGTCAAATCAGACCTAATTACTGTCTGCAGTTTTGGAATGAAGAGTTGGATGACTCAGATGAGGAGAGAGAATTCCTCTCTAGCTACTTATTTCTCTTGTAGGGAAGCACAGGAAAAGAGGCATATAAAATGTATTAGGTTAATTCTGTAGATAAATTCTTTTGTCATATCCACTCACTTCAGCGAAACAGGATTTGTAGTTCAGACACCTGCAGCATGTGTTCTGTAAGTCAGTACTAGACCTCTCTGTACACACAGGATGATAGAAAAGTTTAGGTTGGAAGGACCTCTGAGGGTCCTCTCTCACATCTCCCACTCGCCACTTCTGCACTCAAAGCAGAGCATTTGAGCTTACATGGGGATGCTCAGGGCCTTGTCAAGCTTAGTTTTGAAATTCTGTCCCATTCCATTCTTGAAGCTATTCAAACCTGACTGGACACACTCCTGGACAAATTGCTCTGGCTGCCCCTGCTTTGAGCAGGTGGGGTTAGACTAGATGATTTCCAGAGGTGCCTTCCGACCTCAACCGTTCTGTGATTCACAGAGCCCACAGCTTTTCTGGACAAGCTGTTAACCATGCATGTGTAGGGCATGCTCTCTTTGAATTAGACCTGCAGCAGAAATACATCTGTTCTACATGACTGATGTAGCTAACATGATATTAGTCCTAGGAACCACAGAATTTATAATATAAAAATTAATCTTCAACAGGAAATGTTCATAAAGGAAAAAGGAAGCAGATAAGTTCACTCCTTTTGCCACTTAAAATTATCACGCAATTTCACACAATTTCAGCAGAGGGA